CCACCCAACAAAAAAAAAAAAAAAAAAAAAACATGTCAGGTTGGAATAGCAATTCACAACAATCCAAAAAAGAAGATAGATGACTCACAGGTTTGATTGTATCCAGTAAATACTTCGATGACTCCTCAGAAACATAATTTTGATACCTGAATGAAATAAAAGTCAAACCAGACCTCAGCATCTATGTGCTATTTGCAAAGAGTTCATGTAATTTCCATGCTTCTCATATGGTTTGAAAGATTAGTAACTTACGATATATCATTACTATTACCATTTACAGTGTGATGTACCCTCTGAAAATTAAAGAGAGATTTGTTAATATTCTTCAAGAATGGCATGTATGAAACATTAATATTTCAGACACAACCCAGTGCACCACACTACTGTGATGGCCAACAACACCATACTGCATACAATATGCTTATTATAGATTTATTTCAAGAAACTGAAATAAACTTTACCTGATTGATAACTGGGGAACTACGATCAGGACCACAGTAAGTATCATCAGGTCGATATAAAGGAATATGTGTCAACAAGACTTTTGGACGAACCACATCTAGTAAAGTGCGAAAAAATAAGGATTACAATGGGACACATAATCCAACCTAACAATGAACTATATTCATTAGCCAGTTCATACCAACAGAGATATTCTTCACAACATCCCAAGTTGAAGAACCCAAATAATTTGTTGGGTGTTTCACAAAATCCCAAGTTTTAGAAGTCAGATGATTTTGTGGCTGTCCTGTAGAAAACATAAGTAGTTCAGCATTTTCCGCTTTATAAAAATTTAGTGACATGTATATATAGCATATGATTGAAACTTACAATATTACAGTTAGATAACCTATGTTAGATATTTAAATAGTTAAACTGCAATTACTTGTTTAAATAAGAAATTTTTGTCAAAGAATAAAACAAATAATCTATAAAGAGAGCCTCATCCAAAATGGAGAAATGGTCATTGTTAAAAGGCATGAAGGAAGAATAAGTTCCATGTGAAACATAGTATATAGGATGTGGCAGAAAACATATACAAAATCATTTATTCCAACTGGTACAGCCGAGAAAGAGAAAAGGGTTTGATCAAATGAAAAAAGTTGAATCCGATAAATCAGGAATACATATTGTGCTGAAAATGATACAAGCGTGATGACTTGGTACCATTAATTAAGAGTACTAGTAATTACAGCATCACTACTTAAAGAACTTGACAGCTAAAATTCATAAGGAAAACCCCAGTTTACCATCCAGAGTTTGTGCATCAACAGCAATAAAATCCACTGTTCCAACCATAAATCTATAGTTTCTAGTCCCAAATGTTTCCTCATAGCGCTGGATAACCTATGTTCATGTAATGATAAAAAATGTTAAGAGCAAAGAAGGAGCCAAAGGAGAGAAAACAATTGATGGAAAGTGCAAAACTAGTAAATATGTTTGTTAAATTTCATAAATTAGATTGTGAATTATGTAAAATTGAACTGAAAAAACTTGATTAAAGAGCCACTTGATAAAGTGTTTTGAAACATTTAAGATGTAGTTTAAACTTTTAAGCTTGTTTTATACGAATCACAATGAAAAAGACATATCTGACATGTTGTTTATACAAAATCCCATCTCACCCAATCAACAATCTGTACATGTCATCAATAAGTCCAAATTTTAAAATGGGGAAGATTATACATCCTAAACTTTAGCCTGATAACAAATAGACACCTTGAACTTTGTTTTAATTCCAACTACCCCTTTACCTTCTTGTATTAATATAATAAATCCTTCAGTTAACCTTCCATTAACTCTGTAACACACAACTCAAGCTAACCCTTCATGGAGATTAAATCTAAGCCATTTAGTTTATTATTATTATTTTTAAAACTTACTTTACTGAAGTCACATGTGTGGTCTCCGAAGTCTTTCTTCTTTTTCCTTTTGTTAGTTTTTCTTTAGATTTTAAAAACATAAAAATCAGGGAAATGTGTTTTAGAAATAATAATAGTAATAGAAAAATAGAAAGGCTAAGATTTAATCCCAAAGATGGATCAAGATTGGAAGTTCACAAGTGACTTAACAAAAAATTAATAGAAGGTTCTATTGCATTAATATTTAATACAAGATGTTTAAGGAGTAATTGGGAAGAAAATAAAGTTCATGGTGTATAGCAAGCTAAAGTTTGAGGGGTCTATGTACTCTTTTCCTTTTTAATATTGACACTCAACAACCCTTAGGCACAATAATGTAATTCATCATCCCAAAGGTCTTGAGAGTTGAGATAAATGTAACCAACTAACCATGAATACATTCTCAGACTCTCAATTATGTCTTTGGGCATTTCACTCACTTACAGTTGTAGCTATATATTGTACATGTCAATATAAGCAACCTAAGAGCTATTGGACCTTGGGCATCAAAAGTTGAAGTATAGCATGTTGAAATACCTCCGGCTTTAGAGAATGAAGACTTTCATATCCAATATCATGGTTTCCCGGAATGTAGTAAACTTGCATGTCTGTGTATTTTCCTTGTGCATTCAAACCAAATATATGTCTGAATCGACTGAAAGAATCCTGCCATCTGTCCATCCAAAAGATTGTATAAGAATTCCATGATAGGTAATTTGAGTGAACAAGATTAAAATACAACCCAAGAAAACAGTCTTTCAAGATAAATGAGTCAAACCCAAATTACTTGAAATTAGACAGGTCCTTAGCAAATAATCATATAAAAGAAGTTGACTTATCTTTTCATATTTTTGACAAAATGGAAATTTAAGCTAAATCTGTAATTAGTGACTAAATAAACAATCAACTTATCTTTTCAATTGGTGGACACATTTGCCTCATTAGGTCAGTTATTCCGTCTCTCCCCCTGTTCTATCTGTCATTTTTCAAAGTCCCTAGGGGGGGTTTGCATAGCAGATGAATAAAATCCAACGTAATTTTTTGTGGGTGCCCAAAGGAGATGAGAGGAAGCTCAGCTGGATAAGGTGGGAAAAAGTATGTTCCCCAAAGAATAGGGGGGTTCTTGGGATTAAAACATTAAAGTGTTTAATAAAGCTCTTTTGGGAAAATGGTTGTAGAGATTTGCAACAGAACAACAAAGCATGTGGGGTAGAGTGCTTATAGCAATGTATGGGGACACAGGGAAGCTACAAGAGGATTATGTATATAACTCAAGTAAGCATTCAAAATGGTGGAATGATACGCGAAAGGTGTGCAACATTGGGGAAATAAATTGGGGCTGATTCTTGCAAAATCTTAGGAGAGATTTGAGAGAAGGAAAAGATGTGAGTTTTTGGCATGATCATTGGACCGGACAAGAACCGCTATATTTTATAGCAATTCTATTAATAAACAAGGGATGATTGCTGACATGGTGTCATGGATGGGTGGAGAATGGCAGTGGAATATTAATTTGAGAAGGCTATAGTTTGCTTGGCAGGAAGAAGGTATGCAACAACTTCAACAACAAATTCAATCAACATTGTTAGTGGAAGGGAGACAGGACGGATGGAGGTGGAATGAAGGGGCTAATAGATCATATGTTGTAAAAGAAGTATAAATCTTTTTTGTCACAAGTGGGGGATGAAGATGCTGATTTCTTCAAGAACATTTGGATGATTAAGGTCCCTTCCAAAATCAGAGCCTTTAAATGGAAGTTAGCTAGCATCAGGATCCAAACAAAAAATAATCTGCTAATGAGGAGCATTATCACTAAAACCGTTGATACATCATGTGTATTTTGTAAGCAGGAACAAGAAACAGCATCACATCTCCTATTTGGACGTATCTTTTCTTATGAGGCATGGAACAAGTGCTCTTGATGGGTGGGCAAGGAAAGAGTTTTCCTGTTAATTGTAAAGATCATCTTAGACAACATTGTGGAAAACAGTTCCAAAGTAGGGTGGGTGATGCTTGGATGATGGCATGGATGGCTGTAATATGGACTCTATGGACACATAGGAATGAAATTTTATTTAAAGGGGAAGCACCTAAAATTGATAAGGTGATGGACCTTTTTAAATATAGGTCTAGGAGTTGGCTCATAGCAAGAACAAAAATTTTAATAACTCCCTCTATGAGTGGACTTTGGAGCCAATTTATTGTCTAAAGTCAATCATTGAAGGCACACCACTCCAAGGATAAAGTCAAATATATCCTAATCTATCTGTTGCAGGGGAACACAAGAGTGAACAAGGTAGGGAAAGATATA